ATAAACCAAGAAAAAATTAGCAAATTAGCAACAGAAAATGCAAATCTAAAACCTACTTTCAAGTGGGCTTCCAGGAGAGGGACCAAAAATCCCACCCTATAAAATTCTACATAACTAAAAATGGAAGAATAGTCAATTTCAAGTTCCACTATTAATAGCAGATTTTCACCACTTACCACCTGGTTCGGATGGTCACCGAAATTAGGAATATGTTTACTTACCAAAATGTCTTTCATGTTCCTAGCCCGATATGCCCTGATCAAACTTATTAGGAAGTATCGGTCACATTGAAGGAAAGAAACATCAAAACACCAAAATATGGTTATTATATTTACGTGTATCAAAAAGTAAAAATCAATCCCTTTTTTGGGTAAACAATCTATTCCAACATTAAACTTTTGAATTGAGACAAAAACATAGAGCTTTGGGTATGTTATATTTGTGAATTAATTCGTATAAGTATATTATGGAAACCAATTGGGAGAGACTAAAATTCACATCCCATATAATCATTGAACAAGAATACCCTTAACTTTTAAGTTTATTTGATTCTTTAAGTGTTTCAAGAAACATATATTTATCGAGCAAAAAGTGAAAAAAAAAATTTACATCACAAAAGAGAATATTTTCAGACATTTTACAAGTGCATGTGAATATTATTTTTAATTTAAAATTTCATTTAGCAATCTAGATTTTTCAATTATGAACAAACATGTAAAAGCACCACATATATATTTCAATTCCATAAAATCAAAATCTAAGCGATTTTCAAGATAGAATATACAAACATATTGACATCTCCATATTCATATCCTCCACTTGATTATCTATAAATTAGTGTTAAAAGAAGTTCAACAAAAAAAAAAAGTAGTAGTTCATATAAGGAAAGAGGGAAAAAATAAAGCAGCTTTAGAGAAGCACAAATTCTGGAATAAAATAAATAGTGGAAGGAATTTCTATATAGAACTAAACATAAAGATTAACATATGGATTTTTTTTCTTTAGAAAAGATATCGTTGTTCCCTATTGTCATAATGTAAAAAGATAACCTAAATACCATAAAATGTTTTGTTTTAATGTATAAAACCTTAAGGCATTAACGTCCAATAAAAGTATGGGTCTGTCTATAGGGTGTTTATTGAACACTCATTAAGATATATTTCAGGTGTCATATTTTTTAAAATATAAAATTAATTAGAGAAAGTAAATAAATACAAGGAAAGGTAGATAAGATTAAACAGGAAAAGTATATAAAAGTAAGGAAATGCAATAATTATTATATATATATATATATATATATACACATGATAAGTTAGGTGTGTTAACAAGTGTCTAATTGGCATCCATTAGAAAAACCCTAAAAGCATATGGTGTGGATTTAGCTCCTCCCAACTACTTTTTATTTTTGAAATTTACAGTAACAAACTCTAAAACATTTCCAAAAACACAAATAAGTAAATAAATAATCTATTATCTCTTCTTTCTCCCACCCACTACCCACCACTACCATATCTCCTTCTCTACCGCCATCACTGCCCCTTCCCTTCCCTCCTCCTCTCTCCTCTCTCTCCTTTCTCTTTCCTCCTCCTTCCCTTCTTCCTTCATCCTCTCATCCCCTATCCTGCCCTTCCCTGGCAAGCCCTCCTCCCCTTCCTCCCTATCTAATTGGGATCATGACCACGACCAAAGGAAAAAAGAGAGGAAGGTGTTGCCTGGCAGCCCCCTCCCTTCTCTCTCCCTTTGGTTGCAACCATGATTAGAGGAGAGGTTGCTGAAGAAGAGGAAGAGAAGAGATGAGAGAGGGGAGGAAGGAGAGCAAAGAAAGAAAGGGAGGAAAAGGGAAGAGAGAGGAGGTTGGAGAAGAAGGGGCAATGGAGGAGGGGAGATGGCAGCATTGGAGAGTGGAGGTGGTTGAAAAATTTTAATAATTATTAATGCAAGGAAAGGTAATAATTGTTAGTATATATATATATATATATATACATGATAGGTTAAGTGTGTTAACAAATGTCTAATGGGCACCCATTAGAAAAATCCTAAAAGTATATGGTGTTAATTTAGCTCCTCCCAACTACTTTTTATTTTTGAAATCTACTGTAACAAATTCTAAAAATATTTTCAAAAACACAAATAAGTAAATAAATAATCTACTATCTTTTCCTTTTCCCACCTACTACCCACCACCACCACCTCTCCTTTTCTACCGCCACCACTGCCCCTCCCCCTTCTTCCTCCCTTCTCTCTTCTCTTTCCCTCCTCTTTTTCCTCTTTCCTCCTTCTTCCTCTCCTTCCTCTCTCTTCTCTCTCCCTCCTTTTTCTTCGTCCTCCTTTCCCTTCTTCCTCCCACCTCTTCTCCCCTACCTTCCCCTTTCTTGGCAACCTCTCCTCTCCTACCTTCCTATCTAATTGGGGTCGCAACCATGACCAGAGAAAGAGAGAGGGGAGGGGGTTGCCTGGTGGCCCCTCTCCCCTCTCTCTCCCTTTGGTTGCAACTACAACCAAAGGAGGTTGTTGAGGAAGTGGAAGAGAAGAGAAAAGGGAGAGGAGGTTGGAGAAGGAAGGGCGGTGGAGGAGGCGAGGTGGCGGCAGTGGTAGGTGAAGGTGGTAAAAACATTTTAACAAATTTAAAAAATTCATCCAATAAAATTTTAAATTTTAAAAACATCTCAAAATCATCCTAAGAGCACCTAATCCAGACTAACCATCTACAGTTGAAAGTTTTCAAATACAATGTTATAATAAATTTTTTAAATATACCCCTAAAAATACCTAATTCATAAGGACCCAAAGTTTTATAGGATTTTTTGCCATTGACAAATGTTCTAAATTAACTCCCACTATTTCCCATAATTTTCATTTTTTTCAATTTTTTTTTAAATTTTTGGTTTTTAAGCAAAATACCATCATGGCAAATTCCATGACCTTTTAGTAACTATCATCTTCTAATATATAACCTCCAGAACGTCTTATGTCTCTTTAAGTTCCCTTTTTTGTCATCTTTTATGATAAATTAATTTTTTTTGTGGAAATTGCACGAATGAATTTAAGAGCAATGTAGCAAACTTACTAATCAAACCGTATAATCCTACCAATACTGCATATGGATAGTCTAGCCCAACAAATTACTCATGTCCTTCATCGAATTACCTGCAAGTAACCTTTAGCCGGTATTTAATCCTATTGAATATGCCGTCAATTACACAATCATGTTTTGAAAAAATCTATATAATCCTTTTAGCGTATCATTCCCTTTAATCCTATTGAAAATGCCATCAATTACACAATCATGTATTGAAAAAATCTATAATCCTTTTAGCGTATCATTCCCTTTAACAAGTATCTCTTAATGATGATAGTAGTTTGAATTTTAAAGTTTTAAAATTGTAACGTTACTATATAAGGATCAAAAGACACTTATTTCACCATCAAGGATGTATTTTATTTGAACAAATGATACCCAAAAAAAGCACTTTAGAATCTTCCTCAAATTTTACTATACCTACAAGTATAGCTGTTAATCTTGAGCCATATGCATTGAGTCATCCAAGTCGACCCGTGAATAAATGGTTTTGGATAACCTATTATTTCCAAGTTGAATCTAATTGGGTAACCCAATTAGACCCATTTAAAAAAAGAGTATATGGCAACACCCAAAAACTTTTTTTGTTGTCACTAAAATTCAAGAACCTTTCTATGCCATTACTTTTATCCATAGTTATTAAACTTGGTCCAACTCAGTAGTCGAATCATTCAACCCGGTGAACCGGTTATTGGACCGGGATGGGCTTCTAATTGAACAGTTTAAGCATAGAACCTGTTGATTGGCTAATGATCTGACAGTTCAATCGGATTAAGCCGTGAACCTGGCCGATTTTGTCAACGAAGTGGGATTGTGAAAAAAATTTTAATAAGCTCTTGTTAAAATTCAAACTTGAGACCTTAGGCATATAACTATAGTATACTCATCACCAGACTACTTGTTATATGTTAGTAAAGTAGCTTTCTTATAATATATGAACGTTTTGTCAATTCTATCCTTTTTTTATTTCTCTAAAACAAATTTTTTTTTTTGGAAAATGGATTTAAAAAAATAACGTATTACATAATTCATTTTAAAGACAAATATTATTTTTAATAATTTTTTGACCTTAAAAATTTGTAAATAAACTAGATAATTACATTAAATACGGATAAAATTTTACACTTGAAATTTTGTGGATTACTAATAAATTTATGTTTTATTAATTCTTATATGAATTACTTATTCTACAACGAATTAAATTAAATGAGCATTTACTGTGACATTGTTTATTACAATTTATATCATATGTTTTATATAAAAAATATAATATTTAAATATATTGGATGGTACAAGTTCAACTAGTACCACTCACCCACTGGTTGAACTAATGACCCGTTGATCCACCTCCTTCATCGAGTTACTTCTTGAGCCGGATTTAATAACTGTGCTTTTATTAGTTAAAGGTCCTCTGTGCCATTATTTATATCAGTAAAAAGTGATGAGATAATCTAACTAAAAAAGTTAGAAGAGTTAATAAATGGATAATTGGGCAACTTACACCCATATGACACCCAACCCATTTGAACGCATTTACTTAATAGATATAATAAGGTTAATCCATTTATACCTAACACCCAATTCATCTATTTTGACAGCTACACCTACAAGTATCAATTTTTATTGATTTTGCTTCCAAAAATGGCTTGTTCCCTTAGTTGGAGGATTAACGAGGCAATGCATGACTATTGTATGCCGATGATAAATTAAAAAAAAAAAAGTCCTACTGATACTCGATGGTATTGTTAATTTGCTCCTCAATGTACACAAATTTATTGCCCCTATGGATCACATACGGTCACGTTTATTACCCTGTGTATATCGATATATCCATGATTTAACTTTACCAAAAATCTTAACACGTAAAGCTCCTCTTATCAAGTACCCGTTTGGCAACCCGTAAAACAAAAAATTGTAATTCCGTCCATGGAAAATATTCGAAGTAAAATTTCAAAGGATGGGCACATTATGTAAAAAAGAGAGACAGGGCATTGCCGTCTCCATAAGGTGCAAATTTAACAACAGCCACAAGACAGTATTAAAACAAGCTTAAATACCCACGCACAGGGATTAGGAAGAAAGTACATATATGCAAAGCCATGGGCTGGTGTCCTGAAGGTCTACCCCGCAGTAAGGGAATTTTGGAGTCCAAAATGCTCCTGGCCGCAGAGCACCAAACAGAAACAATTTGCAAAGAACAGAAAAGGCTAGAGCCCTTTCAATCGAAATTTCCTGCAGCTGCTCCAGTGGATGGACTAGCATCACATGCATGATAGATGCAGCTAATAGGGACCTACAAAGCACCAAATAGCAACCACAAGTGAAGCTGCTTGGCTGATAGCGTACAAAAGGATGATTCCTTCTACACTTTGCAAACAAGTGCATAAAGAGAATAATCTACCAAGAAACTAAAATAGTGGCCATGACAAAAATGTGCACGAGGTTATAAAATGAAGAGTCCAAAATATAGCTATTCTTACCATCTATTAACAGAGCCCAAGGAAAGCTGCATAGTCAGAATCCATGTCCCAGAGAGTGAAGTCCTCAAAATCATCAAAATAATAATCATAGTCAGAAACATCAAAGTCAGAAATCCCAGAGGAGTAGACATCAAATGAATCAGAGTAATGAAGTCCTTCACAGTCATCAAGTTCTTCATCAAACTCATAATCTGCCGTGGAGTCATTAGGGAGCCTCAGATGTGTAATTTCTTGAGAGCATCGTTTTCCTAGATCACCATCCAGGTTAACATAATAACATTTCCGAAGATCTAGTGATTCCAGTTTTGCACAGTTATCAAGAATAGCTTTCAAGCCTTCATTTGTCATCTTATTTCCCAAGAGATGAAGGTGGTGTAATCCTGGCATGGTTTTTGCAATAGCAGCTGCCTCCTTATCACATTCTTGATGTGGCAGTTCATTGCTTCTCGTGTTTATTGTAAATGACTTTAACAAAGGGCAAGAGCAGCCAACTATTTCAAGGGCTTCACTGGGCATGGAGATAAAGAAAAGGTGCAGCTCCTCCAACAAAGGTAATCTTTTAACAGCTTCTGTCAAACCTTCACCACTTATACTATCACAAAAGGCAAGCCGAAGGCGCTTAAGCTTGCCTGACCTGTATAAAAGTTGCAAAGACAAAACAAAGGCAAGACATTAAACTGGTTCCATTTACAAATTTGCATAGGACAACATTCATGGTAAGCAAACTTTTACATGGTTCAGGGCTTGGTGGCAAGCAAGGCCCTAAGAAATATATTAATGGGCATAGGAAATTGATAATTATATTGTGATTCTTCAGTTAAAACCTGACATAATCCAAAACAACATAAGGCCGCATGTGCAATCTCGTATTATGCCGGATAAAAGAAAATAAGGTTACTATAAATGGGGAAAATGCAAAAAGTTGTATAAAGAATTTAGACAAGAAAAAAAAGAAAAGAACGGTACTACCAAAAGAATATAATCTGTAAAGCTAACTATAACATGACAAGAAATTTACATTGCAGCTTGAAATTGCAAATAGGCCATGCAGGGAAAAAAATAAAAAAGAAAAAGGACATTGTAGATATACTTTGACAACTAGAGAAATCAATTGCAATTACTTATACCTGATCATGATTGTTGATTCCTCAAAGGACAACCTATACAGAGGTTAATTAGACTACCTTATTCATAATTACAGAAACCACCTGTTCGTTTTTTGAAAATAAAGTAACTCACCTTAAAGTTTAGTATCATAGATTAGCATGAAGTCTTCTTGGAATCTAAATAACCCATATGAGAAATATTTTGGAGCAAATCAGTGGGGAAGCAGAGGTCCTTTTCTTCTTCTTCATTTTTAATTTTTTTAAAGCTAGGAGATGTAGTCATATCCTGAAAAGAATTACTTCATCTAAATTATAAAACATAGGCAGACAGCGGATGTAACTCTGTTTTGGAGAGGCACAAAAGTATAATTCCAAAGATGCCAAACCTCATAAAGTGATTTACAGGCGAACCTTTATAAAATGGTTTGTTCTTCCTGGATGACAACCAACACTACAGACAATTGGGTTCACTTCTCCATCCAAGGATATGCAAGGTTAATCTAAATCAACCACCAAATCAAGACATTGAACAGGTATGGGATAAACTTTCTGAGAACGCCAGCAACAAATGCTGTCTACCATTGAAGAATTAAGTCACAACTCTTTGGCTCCTATACATGACACAGGGGGAAATCAAAGAATTATGCCTGTGAAAGTCAGAACAGCTTTTGCCCATAGACAGGGATACTCATTATGTTCCACAATCTCACCAAACAAGATTTACCACCAACAGTGCAATAATATAACCAATCATCATCAAAATCACCATAGAGTCAACTGTATAACTGTCAATAAACTAGGCATACTGACCATAACCTACAAGACTAACAGAAACAAAATCAAGGCAAAAGCTCAAGGTTTTAAGCCTCATCAACAAAGTAGAGAGAGAACGGTCAGCAAGGAGAGATTTCATCTCGGCATCCAAGTACCAGGAAACAGTATTAATCTCAAGAACACACTACAAACGTGTAGGGGAAAAAATGAAAAGAAAATGCAACCATTCCATTTTGAAGATGTGTTAAAAAGAACTAATCCAATTGCAATTTAAATTAAAAGGACAAAACAATATTAAAGAAAATAACGGCTCTGTTTGGGACCCCTGTTTTTAGGGTGTTTTCAATAGACAAGCTTTTTTACAGCTTTGTCTACAGGAACCCTCTAAAAACACCCCAACTTTTTAAAATACACACATCGAAATATCCCAAAACACACAGTTTTTTCTTTCTATCCTTTTCTTCTTCTTCCTCCTCTAATGCTGGCACCACTATTTGAAGTAACTTTGCTAACAAAGGGACAAAGGGACTAGCACTAAGCATCAACAACAAGATTCAGAATGACAGCTCATGACTCCAAGAGTGCTTCATATATCATAGAACATAGACAACATCTCAATCCAGGTCATGCACAATACAAAGTACGCACTGCTAATGGACCACAAAACAAGCCCATTGCTCCATTTCACCTCATACTCCCGAAGTTATGGTACCATTTTTAAATGCTTATCAATTGATTAGTGCAATGATACACAAAAATTGCGCACACTCAATGAATCACAATTACCATGGGACAGAAAAAACAAAATGCTGATGTGGTACATTATCACTGGCCAGTGTACCACAAAGAATCCTCCTCAATTACTCAAAGGGAAACTTTTCAAAAATTCTGTGCCTCAAAACTTAATTTGCAAAGAAGCCGCAATTTTAAACTTTGCAGCACAATTTACATTCAAGCATATATTTCTGTAGAAATATATTGCTACAAAGTAATTTACATTTTATACAAAATTCAGCATCAATGCACTTCATAATAAATGGACCCAAATTACACCTTCTTTACAAATTAAGATATGGAGCACCATTTTCACCAATTTTTCCCTAGAATGATTACCTTTATCCTTACTCTAACCTCCCTAAATATTCAAAAATAACCCTAATTTGCATAAAGCTAATTAAGTTAAACTAAACCAAAGTGCAACAAACTCATAATCCTGCACATAAATTCAGATACAAATCTAAATACAAATGAAAATTCAAGTTTCATCAACAAATCTACCTTTCAGCAATATACTCAAGCAATTCATCAGTACCAATAGACCCAATGCTGATATCAACCAACTGGCCCTGGCTCCGATCCACAGCGTGCTGGACCATGATTTCCATATCGTAAGGCTCATCCTCGTAATCCGCACAATCATACATGTCAATCACTCGCCACATGGCAGGATCAAGGCAAACACTGCGCCAGGTCGTACACACTTTCTGTGCACTCTCCAGTATATCGACTACCGACAGTCTCTGCAATATGTTGGCCGTTATGTCCCGTGGCAGCTCTGTCCACGGCGGCGGGGGAGGCCGGGCCGATACTGAAGTGGATGCTGATGAACCTTTTCTTCGCCATACTTGTTTGATTTTGAGATTTTTCTTTCTTCCTATCATGTTTAGGGTTTCAGTGTCCCGAGTAGAAATTCAGGAAATGGTTGGAAACTTTTCGCATTGACGGATGGAGTCAGGGTCTTCTGGTTTTGGAACTGTAGGAGTGTGAAGTAGCATTGCTAAACTAAAGCACTGTTTGTTTGACGGGGGAAGACGCGCAAGAAAGTTCGTCCTGGAAAAAGTAAAATGAAATGAAATAAAATAAAGAAAAAGGAAATTAATTTTTTTACGTGTGTTTGGTTAATAAGAAAATGATGCAAGAAAATATAAATTCTTGTGTTTGTTTAGTTAGAAAGTCACAAAAAAATTGGCTAGCATATTCTTTTTTGTTTGTTTTTTTTGTCAATACGTCAAAGTTACACACAAATTAGATTAAAATTGGTTAAAACACTTCAAGGGTTGAACCTAAAGGGGACCTATAAAAAACATTCATCCAATTAATTGGTGACAGGAAGGTGCTCCTATGGACCTTAAGTCTAAGGGCACTACCTCACACACTCTCGATATGGGATGAAACCATCCTACCGTCTCAGCCGGCCTCACGCACACATGGTGACTTTTTTTTGTCAATACGTCAAAGTTACATACAAGTTAGATTAAAGTTGGCTAAAACACAATATACAAAAAATGGAAATCTTCATTTTTTGTGTTTATAATTAATATATGTAAAAACATGTAATAATTATAACATTTTGCATATTGGAAGAGTTGTTTACCTGAAAATTAATCACATTCTTTAATAATAAGTTCACACACACACATATATAATATTAAGGGAAAATCATTCAAAACATCCCTCACATTTTGTAAAATAACTTTTTTCGTCCCTTACTTTTAAAAGTATAATTTTACGTCTCTTACAAATTTACATTGATCAAATTTGGTCCCTACCTAGGTTTCCAACTAGTTTTTAGTCGGAATCCATCACGTGTCTTGCACGTGATTATTTTTTAGGGGTAAATTTGTCAAATCAAATTTTATAATCTAATCCATAATCCCTTACATTTCGCAAAATGAATTTTTTCGTCCCTCACATTGTACAAAATTAATTTTTTATTCCTCATATTTTATAAAATGAAAATTTTTTATCCCTCATTGACTATGTGTATGAATAGTTTTTTTTTTTTAATTCGTGTATATATCTAATTAATTTCACTTGAATAATACGAATAACATGTAATATATCTCTATTTGATTTATATACATGCTATTCAATAAATATATACATGAGTTTAAAACTAATAATTTTATTTTAAACCCATGAATATATTTATTTGATTTCACCATATGAATTTGTTCAATATTTGTGGCCTTTTCTCTTTTAGTAATAATGTATTTATTGAGTTGTATAATAAGGCCATCCAATTAATGGGTCCTAATTCGAATTCTATAGTCATGCTAATGAATTGCAATTTAAATTTGAAATTTCTACTCGCCACCTTTAAGACCGACAATTGAATTACTTACTTTGTAATTGTTTTAAAATTTGAAAGTGCCAATCACTTACTTCTTTTTATCATACTTTTTCTTTGATTATTTTTTTATCCAATTTTAATTCGATATAAATACTTGACAATGTCGAAATTATTTGATTTCATCTAAATAGGCTAATGGTAGTCATACACGTGCTATTTGTATTGTTCAAGTGAAATTAAATAGATACATATATAGATTTTGAAAAAAACTATTCATACACATGATCAATGAGGGATGAAAAAATTCATTTTGTAAAATGTGAGGGAAGAAAAAATTTATTTTGTGAAATATGAGGGACTATGGATCGAATTGTATAAAATTAATTTGATAATTTTACCTTTAAAAAATGATCACATGCAAGGTACGTGATGGATTCGAACAAAAAACTAGTTGGAAACCTAAGTGGGTATCAAATTTGACCAATATGAATTTGTAAGAGACGTAAAATTACACTTTTATAAGTAAGGGACGAAAAAAGTCATTTTACAAAATGTGAGGAACGTTTTAAACGATTTTCCCTAATACTAATGTCATATAAATGTAAAAGAAAAAAATACTAACATCATATAAATTCAATAAATTACTAATTCATTAATTGTCAAAATAAAATAAGAATAAAATGCGTAACTCAAGTTGGTTGTTTGAATTGTAAATTCTAAGATATTCTAATTTATGTAGAAGCTTAGAATGGAGGAAGTAGTTTAGACAAAAGGAGTTGTAAAAGAAATCTATTTAGTTGAAAAAATTTAGATAAGAAAATGCGCAGTTATGGAAAAAATTTATGTGATGGGTCCTATAAGTTTCTTGACAAACAAACATTCAAAACTTGCAGCAAAAGTTATTTTCATCACTTTCCTTCCTTTTTTCTGGCAAACAAACACTGTCTAAGCAAATCACTAACACTAAATTCTAAGTGAATAAATATACCTATGATTAACTCTTTATCTTTATCACTTAATTTACTTAATTGTATTTTAATGACACGAATAAATTAACTAAGAAAAAAAAAAGAAGAAACATAAATTTAATCTAAATTCTTATTACTCATCTAATACAATTTCTTTCTAATTTACATCTCATTTCATTCTAAAACCTTTAATGTTACTGTTCGAAATTTAGGAGAATATAATGGCTCAAAATCAAAATACTAGAGATCAAAGGTGCAAATTCATTCTCATATTTCCATTTGTTGCTTTAAAGATGCCTAAAATTAAAAACTTTAAGGACTAGATTTACTTAAGACGAACATTAAGAACCAATATAGCACACCAGTCAAATATTGAGGACCAAAACTATAATTCTATCTTTCTAATATACTGTATCAATTTATTTTCAAATTAATATATATGTACCATGTTTAATGTACTTACAGCCATTAGTGCATATATGCACATATTGGTACGTAAAGTATCCTTTTTACCCCAAAAAAAGACCATCTCTATCCAAACCCTCCTCTTTAATCATATCTTAGATCTCAGCGTATAGAATCCTTGCAATCCTACGAGAACTGGATTCTTCTTTAGCTTAGCTACCAAAATCAGTCATTCTCCCTCCTAGCTTTCAACCATAAATACTAGACAGTAGATCTTCAAAAAGGATAATGTTTATATTTCGTGCATCCCAGAAAATTATGTCAAAAGCTGCTAGAATAACAAAAAATAATTTACGTCAAGAAAAATTGTCATGACCATACATGGACCAGAAAACGCTTATGCATAGGTTAAAGATGCTAACACATATCAAGATAATCATGCAAGACAATCAAATCAGACCAGCAATTATTGTAAGACCACAAAATTTTTTAGGGCTTGATCTGAGCTAATTGCTAATAACTCTACTTCAATGAATTGCCACTCTAAGGTTCAAGATCATGTAACAAGAGGACCCTTATAGCATAAAAAAAGCGTGGCATCTTGTGCAGGCCATAACTAATTTCTTGGAATCAAACTTTGCTAAATATGATACTACTGCTTGCTGTGAAATACTGCTCCTATTGATGCGAAGTCATTTTTGGAATTGAAGTGGATATGCATCTTTATTGTTTTGCTTTTGGAGGTTGAAGTGGATATGATTTCAGCGGATATGGATCTATAAAATTGAATCTCATAATTCTGAAGAGAGGTCAATGAAATTGTCGTAAAACTCGGTGGATTTATGTGAAATTGTACCTTTTATATATGGTCGACCCTTAATAAGGAAACCATATCGAATTAACTTTTGACACTCCACTAGGAAATTAGAAACTTGATTCCTTCTTTTCCGAAAAAAAAAAAAAATTGATTCCTTTCAAAGAAAAACGAAAAACAATAAAAATTGGGCGGTTTGGGGTTGGGAGGGAGCCAAGAGGATGAAGTATGACTAGTCGATCTGACCATAGTGACAAAACTTTTGCCGAACAGGTGTATATTTTAAAGGCCCGTTTACCCTATAATATATGTGAAATTCCCTAGGTTACATTCAGTTGACTTGAGGGGTAGATGCCGGGAAAGGCTTAGCACATTGCAGCGGAGGAAGACCAATTGCATTTTATAGACAACTGAAACGAAAAAAGAGAGGGAGAGGTGGAGGAGCAATTTGGATTAAGCTATGAACTAAACTACTCGATATTCGAATCCAACCTGGTTTGGTAAGAGGTCAATTGATCTTGGCTTGTCAACTAATTAAATTAAGTTTGAACAATATTTTATATTCGGTAACTTTTAAATTCAATAAGAAGTTCATTCAAATTCAATTCGACAAATAAATAAATAAAATTTCAAATTTGTTAAAATAATCAAATAAGTTTGAACATTAGAGTGTTTGATTTGATTAGATTCGTTTATCCCATAGAAGCAATCTCTTTTAACATTTTTCTTTTCTATTTTTGCATTCTTTATTTCCTTAAGTTGGAGACATGGGTTTTTGCTTTTTTTTTTTTTCTTTTGTATTAGATTTATTTGAAGAACTGACAGAATATATTCATGAAGACTGACTTGGTGTTCAAAGCACTGGAAGAGTTTTTTTTTTTTTTTCATATTTTAATAGAGAAGTGACCTATAAGGATCAATAGAGATGGCATTGTAGGGACGACTGCTTCCATTACTATCCGGAAAGACACCAAATTCTCCTTTAGGTGCTTCAACTGCAGTGTAGGTAGAAGGAGCTTTGTTCTAAATTCTAATGCACCATAAAAAAAAAATATAAAGCGTCCAAAAAAAGCATTTTTTTCATTCATGTCATTTTAGTAATATGTAATCCTATTTACACATCATTTTTTACTATTTTTTCAAGAACTAAAATAGTTTTTTTTTTCTTGAGGCTGGGTTGGATAATAAGATGAGAAGGAGTGTAACATAAATAGGAGATCATCAATTCAAAATCTATTTACTTACTGAAAAAAAATGTATGTTTTTGTTCCAAAGAAGTCATTACGAAGTTATCTAGGAGTGTGATTGAACAGATTAGAAGGCAAAAGGAAGTGGACAAAATATATAATAAAGTAGTATTACTTCTACTGTTTTAACGTTAACGAATGAATGAATGAATCAATTTAATCTACAGCATCTATACATCAAAATCTCTAATGGACTACATTTTTTTTCCTATAGGCTACATTTATCTTCTTTTTTTCTTCACTCTTCAAACTAAAGTGGAACAAGTGGAGGTTAAGGGATCATAGATCGCTGGAAGTA